AATGTTGCTTCACAAGTTTCCAACAAAGCGCCCAAGGTTCCCACAACCTTCGCTCCAAGGTTCGTGCAAGGTTCCCGCAACTTTGCTGCAAGGTTCCCAGAAGCTTCCCACAACTTTGCCCATTTTGCTCCAAGGTTCCTACAAGGTTCCCACAACTTTTTTGCAAGGTAAGGTTCCCACAACTTTGCCCCACAAGGCCCCCAAGGTGCCCACAACTTCGTTCCACAACTTTGCCCCACAAGGTTCTTCCAATTCCCACGAGGTTCCCACAACGGGGCCCCGAGGTTCCCACAAGGTTGGCGCAAGTTTCCCACAAGGTTCCCGCAAGGTTCCTAATCGACAGTCAAGGAAACGTCATCATACCTCAAGTCTATTTCATTGTGCTTCCTACTGCTACCTTTTACCTTGCTAACCTTTTGGTATCCTATCCTCTTAGTTTCCTCCCTGTTCTCCATTCGGGCTCCGAATCCGCCTTCGGGCCCCGAATCCGGTTTCCGGCTCCAAATCCGGTTTCGGAGCCCCAATCCACAGTCAAGGCAACCTCATCATACCTCAAGTCTATTCAATTGTGGTTCCTTCTCTTAACTTCCTAACCTTCTAGTATTCTATTCTCTTAGTTTCCTCCTATTCTCCATTCGGGCCCCGAACCCGAATCCGGCTTCGGGCCCGAATCGACAGTCAAGGAAACCTCATCATACCTCAAGTCTATTTCATTGTGCTTCCTACTGTTACCTTTTGCCTTGCTAACCTTTTAGTATCCTATCCTCTTAATTTACCTTGCTAACCTGAAGAAAAAGTGTTGCATTTTGCGCTTAAGCTGTTTGGGATATTCTTTGGGCTTATTTTCTTTGTTTTTCTGAGTCATGTGAAACCATATGATATCATTTGATTGCTTCATCCCAACTTCATGCCATACCCTCTCCTACCGTGCACAGGTCAAGAAGCAGTTCTTCAGGGAAGTCCACTGACGAGTAGCATAACTCCGACTTCCAGGTGGCCACACCACCTGGTGGTGAAGATAGTCTTTCACAGGTCTAGTTACATGTCCATGTCGTGACCGAGCATGCGCCCTTCGTGTGTCGGAGTTCGGTTTGGTTTTTCCCTTCCCTTCTGCGAGACCTCACTGAGCTTGGTGCCGGCGCGCTCGGTCGCGGTCGCCCCTCAGGAGGACACTGGCCTGCGAGATGTCCATGGCGGGCCCCGGTGAGGATGAGCGGACCGCTTTGGGTGGCCGGTTTGGGGTCTTGGGGGTTGTGTAGTGGGCCGCTTTAGTGCAGGAGCTCACTCAGACCCTTCCCAAGATGCCAAGTCAAGAGGAAGGTGCCCAGAGAAACGCGATGTGGCCCCGCCCGAAACCTCGAAAGACATACTTCAAATGGTAGTCTCAGTGACGAGTTGGTGTTTTGGCTGTTTTGCTTTGTTCGTCAAATGTGTCCACATGGCAGGCCATCGAGTGAATCCAAAGGCGCCTGGCTCCACGCGCTCGCCCGGGCGCAGCGACAGCGACAGCGTTGCGACAGCCACGGTCACGCCGGCGCAGGTGGTGCGCTTCGTGGAGCAACGCGCTTCAGCACTGGCACCGCCCGCATCCTGGGAGAGGTGGAGCTCAGTTGGGACGTCTGGAGGGAGCTAACAAGTTGGGGTGAAGGACGTCGATTTTCATGGCGTTTATGGTAGGCAGGTTGGAAGGTTACGGAAGGTTCTGGTTTCAGATCGGTGGATGTCTACGACATGATCCATTTGCAGGACAGAATCTGTGCACTAGATGCATTCATTTTTTGGCGCGGTGTGTGTGTGTGTGTCACACGCTGTATCTAAGAGTTTCTTCCACTCACTCATTTCAAGCAGGGGATGGAGACACCTGTATTGCTTCTCCATCAACGAAGCTGGCAATACATGGTGAGGATATCAGTTCCGGACGCGGAACTGACGTACCTGCTACAAGAACTTTTCCACACGCTGTGACTCTACTTTTCCCTTTTTTTCTTCCATGGTGGTTGTCCATGATACCTTCCCCACAAACAGGTTTCCTTCGGCATTGCAGCTGCTGCCGCCGCTTTCGCTTGAGCGTTTTTGAGAAACATTTGTTTAACACTCAGTTGCTCGGACTTTTGCTGCCTTTCCGATCCATCGCCATTTTCGACTTGGGAACTGAGCTAACTGAAAACCAATGTCAGAGTGTGTGCCGCTCTGCCGTCCCACGTGTGATCCCCGTCACTGGGGCGCTGTCTTCACCCAGACTACCGTTTAACGGGCTCAGCGGTTTACTGCGCACGTTGGATTCTCTCAACCGACTTTTGGTTCACCCTTGTATTCCCAAAACCAAAAAGCCGCCGGCAGCTTCCCCACCCAGCCACATCACACCACTCCGACTATACCCGTTACCGACCGCCTCCAGCAGCCATGTGACCATTCAGGATGCCACCGCCCAGACAACCTCACCATGGATCTCCGTTTTGGACACCCATTTCACCGCCCCAATGTTCCATCAATCGCAACAGACTACTTCACGACCAGATACCCACAGCCGCCACGCGCAGACAGACATCAATGCTATTGTCCTCTACCCCGCGTTTGCGGGCATCCCAGCCACACCACACACGGAGCAATCAACCTCTTCCAATACCACGGCTAACATTCCCAACACCACGTCACCCAACCTTACTGCCGCAGCAAACAAGCAACCCCATGAACGCTGGCAGTACGTCAACCTTATCCCCACCCCTACAGTGACCACTCCAGCGCAACCCGAACTCACTCAGGATTTTCCTTCCCCTATTGGCGGTACCCCGCGCCACAGGCATTCCAAGACCCCACCACGTTCGACCACCCCTACCCGCACTCGACAACCAGACCCACCAACCTCCTGTTTCAGCACCTCCACAAGCTTCGGCCCCACCACCACACGCATGGCCATCCTACTATCAAGTCCAACCACAACAGCCGCCCCCAACACAACTGGCTCCAGAATACACAACACCACCCACGAACACCGCAGCGACTCCCACCCTGTTGACTGCCCGACCATCGGGCTATTATGATACGCAGGGGCGCCCCCTGCCACTTCACCAACAGGACCACCGCCCCGAACATGACCCCTGGCACGCTGACAACCACTGAACGCGCCGCAGCCTGATGTTGGCCACAAGAGCCTCTTGATCCGTTGATGTGTTTGTTCTCAACCGACCACGCAACTTCACTGAATCACCTGCTCTATTACACCGATCTTCGGATTACAGCCATCCACAACGAGGCCTCCACCTGTTTCACTCCGCGCCACGAAAAAACGATTGCGACAAGTGCTGCCGGACATTCACTGTTTGTTATCCGCTGCGCTTTTACAGTGCATTTCAGACTTCAGGTTTCCTCATTAGATTTGCTGGTAACCAATAGGACAGCTACTCTGACCATGTTTCACATCCTGGCTGCACTTTTTTACCACCCTCCATGTTTTTTTCCTCTTCGCATCGAACTTTTCAGCCTGCTCAAGCAATTACTCGCGATTGTCTACATTTGAGTTCCAGCCGCTGCTTCACCATGGACGCACAATGGCAACAGTACTACTGGAACCACTATTTGCTCCAGCAGCAGCAACATCAGCAGCTAGCCACCACAGAAGCCGCCACCACCCATCCTTCCACAAGCCACCACTCATACAACCCCACTGGCACCTATGGTCCACTCACTCACGCTCTTCGCGCACACCAGACTCACCACACACACCCATACACGCCACCACCGGAGGAGGGGCCGCTGGCTCATCGCCTCCCCCACCACCCCACATCCCTTCCCCCAAGCCACCACTCCAAGATTCTTGGCACCAAACTGACCACCATTGGGACGCCAATACACTTCACGGCCACCAGCTCTATCGAACAATACAACCTACCCAATGGGCCGGTGTTGCCGGCCTTCCAACATTTGACATTTTTCCCTGGCAACTCGCATACCACGGCACGGCCGAGTATACAGCACGCACCCTTAGCCATGCGAAGTACACCGGCTTCATCGCCGCTCGGAGTGTGGCCGAATCCGTTTTTGTCACACACCTCCTCCAGGAAATCAGGGAGAAGCGCCTGGACCTAGACGGCATCGCCGAAACCCTCCACACCACGCAAGGCACCGACATCCCCAGCAAGACAACGCAAGCACGCGCTTTCCACGCCCCCTTGATCAACCTCCTCACCCAGCAACTCCAATCCCACTCACCGGCGCCGGCAGAGGGCACTGCTCTACGGGCCAACGACGAGCTTGCCCGCGCAAAACAGAAACTCCACAACTTGGGCAATCCTCTCACCCCCGTGAAGGGCACCAGCCACACTACAGGCTCAACCCACCCCACCCACCAACCCCACCAGCACACAAGCCACCAGTCCTGGCTGACGTCCTGCAACCTCCACACCCAGCCCTGAAGGACGACATCCCTGACAGCTGGACGAACACCGACATCCAGCATTGGGTAACCACTTTTGACCCCACAGTCCAAGAGGCGGCCAGCGAAGTCTTACGCCTGCTCCAAACAAGCAAGGTCACCACACAACAATTGAAGGAAGCAGCCACTCGCTATGGCCTCCCTCTCGGTCGCGTCAACCGTTTACCCATCCGCAGTTTGCAACAACTGGTCAGCGTAGGTGCAGCCATCGGCTGCTGACTCGCTATTCTCAGCCAGCAGCAACCCAGCCACACTACCATGCAACATCTCTTTCACCTCCACCGCGCCTTATCCATTTTGATCCACCACACCCAATACATAGAACGAGCAGAAGCCATCTTCGCAACAGGCCTCATTCACATCACACTACTCTTTGCATATCCATCCACAACACATCGATCTCAACAGTGGCGCAACCGCTTCCGCCAACTCCACATTCTTCCACACACCTACCACTACCACAACTTTCTTTCCCAGAACTCCGTTTACGTCAAACTCTACTTCAACCCCATTCCGCCACATCGTTGTTACCACCAGCATGGCCACTTCTACGTCGGCTCCACAGCCATTGGCATTCCAAACCGAGAACACAACCGCCGAGCCAAGCTCAAGCAACTCCAGAACAATATCCCAATCTCAGCAGAACTCTCCTTACGCTATTTGCATTCCCACAACAACATTCACCACTACACCACCATTCAGCTCACATCCCACGACACTTACGATCAGGCCTGGATCCAAGAACACCATCACATTGCCAACTGGATGCCCACACTCAACTGGCCTTTCATATCGCACCACCTCAAACTTAAAGCTCAAGGATGGCAATTCACAAAACATCGAGCACACTTCTACTCCCGATTGGCCACTCACAAACGTCTCTTTCGACGACTACGACAACGCCAACACACCATCAGAGAACCACACCTCTACACTTCCACCAAACACCACGCTCTCACACTTCTCCGCAACCTCACAAAACACACAGCCGCCTCCTTTGAAGCAGCAAAACAACTGCGCAGCGGTCGTCATACTGACCTAGAAGTCTACGCCATCAGGCGCATGGCCGCCAACCTCGAAGAACCAGGCCGCAGCAGGGCTCTCCACATCATCAACAAAGCCCTTCTTTACCGCAATCTCACACCACCCAAACCGAACATCCCGCTCACAGTGCCTTTCCTGGCGCATGATGACTTTACAAAACACTGCCAACAGTGGCTCCGCACCACCATTCAGCAACACAAACATTTGGCCATTCCCCTCCACCTCCCATCGAAGCAGCCCACAAGACCCTACGATCCCAACTCCACAATCACCGTACCTGGGAGGATACTCTCCACTCACCACCTGATCCAGAAGACCTCCCTTGTGCACCTTGCACAGCATTTGGAACCTTTCCTCGCGCACCAATGGCGCCTCCACAACACCCATCTCAAACAACAACCCCGCTTTACAGCCCGCCTGCTCCGTCAGCTCCAGGAATATCTCGGCCCACACACAGTACTTCACCATGCTGACCACGAACTACAACAAACTCCGACTGTTCTGCCCTCGCCAATACTTCACCGGTGCCTTGAACACGTGGCAATCCCCTGAACTTTTCGAACCACTTCCCTATCTTACAGTCGCCAACATCCACGACCATCTCAAAGCCACTGTTCCACCCACCCTCCGCGCCCGCTACAAGTGGGGCTTCCGCAAGGATTTCAACATTCCCAATGGTGTGGTCCACCTCAAGGAGAAAAAGCAGTGGCAGAAAGGCCGCACCATTATCTCATACTTTCATTCACTCAGTGACAACCTCCTACGCATCACCAGCCGTGCCCTTGACATCATTCTCCAACATCTTTACCCACAGCATCCAGGACAGCTATCCATCCCACAACTCTGGCGCCACTTCCACTGCTACCTCACCCAAACCCCAGCAGACATCTCCCTGTACGCCGCCAACGATGACCTGGTTGGCTTTTTCAACTCGGTTCCCCAGCATCGACTGATCGACGCAGTTCACTCCATGATTCACCACTGGCAACAACAGCAATCCACACACACACACACCCTCACAGTGGATGTTCAAGCCACAGGCAACCCCTTCCACCACTCCCACATCGGCCGTCACCACCACAAACACCCCACACAACGTACCATCCAGACCTCCGACATCACCGCCATTGTCACCTATGCACTCAACACCTGCATTTTCCGGGCTTGCAATAACACATACATACAAATCCGAGGAGCAGGGATTGGATCCCAACTCTCTCCAGCCCTATGCAATGTCGCCATCACACTCATTGAACACTCCTGGCACCAGATCCACAACAATTTACTTCAACGCACTGACCTACACTTTGCCTACTACCGCTACGTTGACAACAGATTCATTGTACACAACGAACACTTCCTCCGCCACCCGGCCATTCAAACCCTCATCCACCACAACTTCTTTGGAGACCCAGTGGAACTCGAACCTGTCGACGACTTCCACCTCCTGGGCTTCAATATTGACCTACAACAACGTACCATCACCTACATACAACCTTCACAACCCTGGAAAATCAGGGATGCCACCACCGCCGAGAGCCAGCGCTTGGCTCTGTCAGGCCTCCAATCCAGACTACACACTATCCAAAAAAGGACACAACCAAATTGCTTGCAGCCGATTTTTGAAAGAAAAAAGCGCCGATCACGGCGATCTGTGTGTGTCAACCCCTGGGCCAAGGGTTCACCACCACGACCTTTTCCACCACAATTTTATACGCAGGGGCACACGGCATCCATGACCTACCGTGTGCAACGAAGCTGCGGTCATGGATGGGAAGGGAAGGCTGATCACCTTCCTGTACCTGCTTTCAACACACTGACTCCAATGGTCCACCCTGCCGCTGTTCGTTGTTTCCATGGTTCTTCTTCATGATACTTTCCCGCAACAACAGGTTTTCCCACAGCCGCTTTTCAGCCGCTCGTCCGCTGCTGTCACGATCCTGCAGATGTGCACAAACTATTTGTTGAAGCACCTTCAATTGATCAGACTCATCACCTTGCCGTTGAGCCATTCCTTTCCTCGGGGAATTGAGTGTAACTGAAAACCCATGTCAGAGTGTGTGTCACACTCTGTATCTAAGAGTTTCTTCCACTCACTCATTTCAAGCAGGGGATGGAGACACCTGTATTGCTTCTCCATCAACGAAGCTGGCAATACATGGTGGGGATATCAGTTCCGGACGCGGAACTGACGTACCTGCTACAAGAACTTTTCCACATGCTGTGACTCTACTTTTCCCTTTTTTTCTTCCATGGTGGTTGTCCATGATACCTTCCCCACAAACAGGTTTTCTTCGGCATTGCAGCTGCTGCCGCCGCTTTCGCTTGAGCGTTTTTGAGAAACATTTGTTTAACACTCAGTTGCTCGGACTTTTGCTGCCTTTCCGATCCATCGCCATTTTCGACTTGGGAACTGAGCTAACCGAAAACCAATGTCAGAGTGTGTGTGAAACCCTTGGAGTCACCGGGAACCTTTGGGTTTCAGTTTGCTTGGAAGTGGTGCGCAGTCTTGGAGTCACGAGTTTTTGGAACTTTGAGCTTTCAAATTTCGAGATGATGATTTGGTTAGACGCCTCTCCACTTGTACCTTTTAGGCTTCATACTTCCTGGATTCCTAGGTTTTACACTTAGGCTGGCGAGTGACAGGCCACAAATCAGTACGGTACGCAATATCCCCCGTGTGTGTGTGAGTGTGTGAGTGAGAGGCCGCCGAACGCTGACCCGGACGAGCACACGCCGCAGAACGGCGGGGCCGTCCGTGCCTCAGCGGAAGCGGCGCCCCCGACAGACTGCCGTGGAGCGGGCGCCCGGTGGAGTGTGGGATAGAATCATTAGCAACAGAACTAGAACCAAGAACTAGAATCACATTTGAATCGAAAAGGGGTCTTTTTGATGAGTTCTAAATTTAGGTGTTTGAGCCAGTGAAGCCACTCTGCAACTGGTCGCCTGCTTCTCTCTCTCTCTCTAACTTCGGCGGAGCAACTCCACTGAGGGCCGACCAAGACTGACAGCTCGAAAGCGTGTAGCTGTCGAAGTCAAGCCCGAGGCTGGAGACGTGTTTGGCCCCCACGTTCCGCCCGAACGCGCTCCGGTCTTCGGTGGTTGTTTTCCGTCCAAATCCAGGAGCCGAAAGATGAGAAGTGGTATTCGTCCACTCTGCGGCGGCTCACTCGTTGTGGAAGTTGAGTCCAGGGCGACGACCAGTTAGCACAGGGGAGACGCCTGTGGATCCTGCACTTCCAGAATTCACTTTTCGTTGTTTGAGTTGTTGATCACCAATCAATTTGTGGAATTCGTTTGAGCAGGCCATCGGAAAATCCGACGGATGACGTCGCCTTTGCTCGTTGGCAGTTTGCATTGCTGATGGCTGAACATGCTCTGAATTCGCTCGCTTGTTTCATCGTGGAATCTTGGAATCTAGGGGAAAGGGGGAAGGGAACGAGTCAAGGGGAAGACCTTTGCGAAAAGATTGCGAAAAGAGATCCAAGGCTGCCAAGAAGGCAAAGTTGGACTGCGTGACCTTTGGTTAAAGAACCGGCTTCTTCCCTTGCAAAGCTCCCGACAGCGCGTTTTTTTGACGCATCGATCTGCGATGAAAGAAACGGCCTGCGGAAAAAGAAGAGAGCGGAAGCCGAGGCCGGTCTGAAGCTTGGCCGTGCAGCCATCCAAGTTCTAATCCGTGCTTCGCTGCCTTTTTCCAGAGGGACAGCGGCCGGGAGATGTCTGGGGTGACCGAATTTTCAAGTGCGTGTCATGTTTCACGGGGTGCCGATCATGTTCAGTTCAGTCTTCACTTTCAGACCCATCCCCCCCCTCTCCTCATCTCCTCATCTCCCCATCCCTCATCCGATAGAGGCCGCTTCCCCTCACGCCATGGACATCGGCAAAGTCCGACCCGAGGGTCCGGACCGACGCGCTTGACGTCGCGCGACGTAAACCACGCGCTTGACCCGCGCGCTTTCCGTGCGAAAAGGGTCTTCGGAACCGGTGGCTGAGGCGATGGCGAAGTGGATGAGTGGCAAGTCATTGACCAGGCGATGTCGACAGTGTCCTGAGTGCCTGAAATCGTGCAGTTGAGAAGACCATGTCATGCTTGCTTGAAAGAAGAGTCGCGGAACGGCGGAACGGTCATAGATATTTAGATGGCTCTGTCAGGTGCTGGGCCATTTGTCACAGTACAATGGCAGCCCAGATGGAAATGATGCCGAAGAGGCCGGTGTGGCGTTCGAAACGAAAGGGACCGTTGCTGACAGTGATGGAGAGTTAATAAAGTTGACCGTGATGGAGGCGTAGGGATTTTTCTCTATAGGATCATTCCACTGTATGATACCGCACGTGTTTGTCGCGTGACTCAGGTGTTGCCTTTGATTGATGCCTTGCGCAGGGCCATTGCCATTGTCCAAGGCCGTTTCTGTTGCAATTCTTCGACTCGCTGCTTGGCCTAGCCTGTTTCAGCAGGCCGACCACAAATGGTTCAAATGGCAGAAGAAGAGCGGCGGCAACTCTCTTCACAGGCTGGAGAACGTGCGGAATTGAACTTATAGATAGAGCCCGCCACTCCCCAGCACAGTCCCTTCCCTTGTGTGATTTAATTATCCTTTCGTAGATCCTCCAAACTCTCCAGCATTTTTCACCTCAAAAACCGGCCAAAAGGCACTTTTTCTTTTTTGTGTGTGGCGTCGTTGGAAGATCTAAGTTGTTTCATGTCGTTTTCCTGGGCGGCCTTGTGGTGGAAAAACACAGGCGCAGGCCACGCTTCACGAGTGGCGTCGCCGTTCCCAGGAGCGTTCCTCGCGAGACGCGTTCCTCGCGCGTTCGCCGTTGTTCCGGTGCAGCCGCGATCGCGATCGCCACTGGTTGCGTTTGAGAGCCGATCACGTGGGCCGAAGAACCGTGCTCCTACAAGGGCATCACAGCCTCAATTGCTAGGGGAGCCAAAAGGTCGAAGCTGTGCTGTCATTGATGGTCATTGTGCATGGCGGTGGCAAGCTGCGGCGACATTCGAACGCATGAGCCTTTTGGTACGTACCATCTAGCAGAACCTAGCCCCTTTCCACAGCTCGACCAGGAGCTCGAACAAGTGCAGGCGGAGAACAAGGCCATTGGGCGCCCCCTCCATCGGATTTCTCCCACTCCTAACGCGGGAAACTGCCGCCGCCAGGTCTTGAAGTCTGAACTCCTTCGTGGACGTCAGGCGTTTCGCTGTGGCGCCGTCACCGTCGGCGTGGGACGTTCGGCCGTTCTTCGACGCGGTAGGCTGTGGACGACGTGCTGCAGCGCCAGGCAGGGCGTGATCCGCGGGTCGCGCGGGTCATGTGGGTCAGCCCGGTGACGGTAGACATGCTCCAGGCTGAGTTGCAGAACCGCGTGGAGATCATGCGTGAGACGATCGAGAACAAAAGGCACAAGCTGAGACAATAGTAGTAAGAATGCTCTTAGTAGCGATGCCAGGTGCCCCTAGTAGCGTCCTTGCTCCTAGTAGTAAGGCCATGAGCCCCTAGTAGCATCCTTGCTCCTAGTAGGAGTTTGGAGGTTGACTGTCATGTTGTGAGGAACCATCTCCGGCACATCAACAAGACTTGAGACTCTTTGCTTCACAGCACGCTTGGGTCCAAGATTGCAGCACACGTGCGCGCCCTTCTTGGCCAACGTGTTGGTTTCGATGTGCCGGCCATGAGGCGTAGCTGCAAAGGATGCCGGCCCTTCGAAGAAAAGAGAGTGCGTCAACGGTGCTTGTCGCCAGCAATCACTAGCATCGTGAATCAAAGGAATCAGTATTCAGTTGTCATGGAGCAAGGTTTGGTGGACATGAAAGCTGCGGATGCCCTATGTGTGGAATCTTCTAAACATCAAGGAAAGGGCTGAGCCCTAAAGTCGCAGATGAACTACCTTCACAGACATGAGAGCGGCGGTAGGCATCATGAACACCCATAGTCGGCCCAATCTAGTTCAGGGTGGGAGACGCACGCATTGTAAATCGGCTCTTCAGCTTCTCTAAGCACTGGCAGCCTCGAAGGCTGCGGCATACAGCAATTATCAGCTACGACATGCGGGTAGTCTCCAACCGGCACTATCCAAAACATCAGTTTCTCATGGTACGCGGCAAGCAGCGCCGCTCGCGGTCCGGTTACACGCAGGCTGAGCAGCTCGACAGAACGGGTCACGGTCGGGGTCGTCAGTCCGTCAGTGGTTCTCACTTGAGCAGATGTTCTTGGGACCATTTGGGAAGATATGGGACCCATTGTTGAAGTTTAAATTTCATGTTATTTCTACTTCAGGCCTCTTTAGACATCTTTTCCAGCATATCATATCAGATATGTCCGTAAGAGATGGGGGTTGCAGATGCAGGATGCTGGTCAAGAGGTCTCAAGTGGAGATATAAATTCTTAGAGACGAAATGATGAGAGAAACGACAGGTTCTGTATTACGCACAGGGGGTCCTCAAGGATGCTTTAGCTTTGGTTCCTTCTTCTTTGAGGGTGGATTGAAGAAAACAAACACAAAAACAAAAAAGAACGTGCGAAGAAGTTGCATATCGAGTCCTTTGCTGTACATGCCTTTGGACTCCCCATCCACAACGTCGATTTTAGACCGCCCGGCGAAAAACGTCGTGTTTTTGACCGCCCGAGGAGAGATGCGGCGCCTGAGTGGCTTCGACGGCTCATGATCCTTGCAGATCACAACGCCAATGTCCCCAACGGTTCTCAACGCTTCAAAGAGTTGCAGAAAGAAGTGGTGGAGATGGCGCCCGAAGATGTGAAGGACGACATCAGGAACTTACCCTTCCTAGCAACTGGACGTTTCCGGGAGGGGTGGAAGGGGGCGGAAGGCTGAACGTGGAACGTGGGGTGGCATGAATTGAGCAATTGTGTAACTTGAAGCGACATCCCAGCATGTTCGCAGGATTTTGCAGACATGTTGGCTTGGGAGCCAGTTGGACCATTGTGATGTATTCGCAGTCGCATTGAACGGGATTTGATGGGAGTGGTCGTGCAAGATTACAGTAATCCAGGTACACAAATACAAGGTTGCACAACTCCACATGAGACACGTGTGTCGAGCCTTCGACAAGGTAGTTTTTAATGTTGAATATGCCGCAGGCGAGCTTGATAAGAGTTGTAAAACGATGAGGAAAAGAGAATCCTATATCCTATAAGTAGGAAAGGTCATTCATACATACATACATACAAACATGACTCTGGCACACACACACTTCACACACTTAGATCCATGCTCGCAAGAGCTCTATCAGTTTGGCAACTCCCGTGAGGTTAGCGCTTTACGTTACTGAAAGCTAGACCTTGACTTGCAGAACGGAACGGTGATCAGTCAGCGGAAAAGAATGTTTGAACAAAGGTGCAGCACGTTACGAGAAAAGGAGTCACAGCTTGTTCAACAGTTGAAACTCGGCAGGTCGCTTCAATTGGTTGCAGGTCCCAGGAATGTCCGTTTCTTTCTTCCCCTCCGGCTGAATCCCATAATGTCGTTGGCGCTAAGGAAACAACTGCCATGCCCCCTGCTTGGCTGTACAACGTAAAAAAGCGAACGAAAAGTTTGAATTAATGTGGCCGTGCCCCTTGGAAACAGGAGGTGACACACTTCGAACTTGGGTTTTCAGTTAACGCAATTGTCACGTTGG